GTAATACTGTTAAAAATCTATGTTATCTCTTTATTTAAATCTTTTTAAGTAGGTTTTGGCTTCTTAGCTTTACAGATTTACACAGTTACAAGAATTTATCTTAGGTTTGCATTACCTATTACTAATTTGCATTTTTTTGTATAACTAGTTATATAGATGCTTTATGTTCTACTAGTCATGATAATGCAACCATAGTTACAGATATCTTATCTTAACTAATTATTAAAATGCTGTTATCATAATACTGTCTATATGTTACATAAGTGATTATTCAAAATTTTATTATTAATAAGTTTTAAACTTACAACCTACTACTTAGAAAGTTGTTAACTTATCTACTTTACTAAGTTACTACATTTTTTTAAAAAATAATTATTAAAAATATAAAATTTAATAAATATATTATTCTAAAAATATATGTTAATTATATAGAAAACCAAAATAATAACAGTTAAACTCAATATATAGTGCAGATTATAGTATCTTACATAGCTGTAAGAGCCAGGTATATAGTAATTGATACTGAAAAAAAACAAACTTAAAAGATTATTCTCAACATTCTTAAGTTCTTATAAATTTATATATGTTTTAACAAATTTTTTCTTTATTACAACCTAATATTTTTTTTTATGACCAAACTATTTAATTTCTTATATAATATATTGACAAATATAACTATAATAACATTATCTCTAGTATTACTTTTTCTGTTAATAATTCTTATTATAAAACCTATATATATTTTTAAAATACTTCTTTTTTGTCTAATCATATTGTTATTTATTCTTATTTTCTTTTTATTTTTTACAATCTTTCTTTTAGCTCAAATTTATCTAATTTTATTTTTATCTGATTTCTTAATAGTTATATTATATTACAAGTATTTACATCAACAAAATCTTTACATAATCTTTATTTAAATATCTATATATACAATATTAGAGATTTTAATACAATAACTAAAAGAGACAGCAGAATTATTATTTTTACAATAATATTTATATTGCCTATATTACTAAAACTAAAATCATTAGTAATAATAATCTTTATTTTTATAACAACAATCTGTTTATTTACTTCTAAGCTAACTCAGAAAGTTTAGCAAAAAGTATTGCTATTATAATTCAGAATTACTTATAATCTTATATATAATTATCAAACATATTCTAGTAAAGCAATTGTTTTGAACTTCTTTTTTAAAAATAAAATTAAACTTTAATTTATAGCTGTTTACCTCTCTTTTACTAATCTACAAAAATATAACAAAACATAAAAGATTGTTATTATATAGATCTAACAAGCTTATTAATACAAACTTTATCTAATAATATTTAAAGACTTTAATATACATAATAATATTTGTAGCTCATTATCTAAATTTCATCTTATTAATTATCTATATTACTTTAATATATTTGATTTTGGTGAACTTGTCCTTGCAAAGTTCACTTAGATCTTAGTACTAACTTTATAACATATCTTTAGTACTTATAGTATACTCTACTTTTGTCATCAGATTTCTAATCCAGATAGGTCAAAAAAACTATAACCTGTTTTTTAGTATATTGGAGTTATAATATCTGATATTCTTTTTCTCTAGTTTGAAAGTTCTAATAGTCTGGTTGGTAATACTACTTATTCAAAGTTTTTGTCTACCTGATTTCTTCATAGTAATATTTATTTTCTAGATCTAGTCTTTATAGTAATATTGTTGAAAATCTGTATTAGTTTTTTACTTAGGTCTTCTCAAATAAGCTCTGGTTTTCTAGTTTTGCAAATTTATACAGCTACAAGAACTTATTTTAGATTTGCACTACTTATTACTAATTTGTATTCCTCTGTATAACTAGCTATACAAATGCTTTATAATTTACTAATCATACTAATATAACTATAGTTACAGGTATTTTATTCTAACTGATTAACAAAATACTGTTATTATGATATTTTCTATATATTACATAAGTAATTATCCAAATTTTTATTGTTGATGGGTTTTGAACTTACAACTTACTACTTGGGTGGTTGACAACTTATCTACTTTACTGAGTTACTATATTTCTAAAAAGAATAATTTAATAAGATTATATTTATTTATTATATCAGAAAATTTTAGTAAATAAACAAAAAATACTAATATCAAAAAAGTAATTTTAGTTCATTTCAGTGACCTGATTGATAGTATCTCTAAGACTCCAACCTAGAGATTCTTGACTATTCAAATACTTTGACATTGATATTTATTTTCTCAAACTAACCTTTACAGTAATGCTATCAAAAATTTATGCTATCTTTTTATTCTGGTTTTTTCAAATAGATTTCTTGTTTTCTAATTTTAATAAATTTATACAACTACAAAAACTTATCATCCAATACTAGTTTGCATTTTTTTGTATAACTAGTTACATAGATGTCTTATGACCTGCCAGTCATGCTAGTATGATCACTATTACAAGTATCTTAACTCAATTATTAGAAATAGTTCTTTTCTTTTTTTTAGTTATTTGTTTATACAGTATTTTTATAAAAAAAAATTTTTCTTTGATATATGCTTGGTTTTTTTGACATTAAGAAAGTAAAAAATAAAAAAAATTATCTCAAAAGTCATATGAATAGGATATGTACAGTTCGTTTATTTGCTCACATATAATAATCTGCAAATTGGATATTACTTTATTGGCTACCATACAAAACTACTTTAGTACTCTAACAAGTCTTTTTTAAACTATTTTACTATATAATCATTTAGTCTTTAAGTTTATTCTAAACACTAACACTGTTAATGAACTTTAAAAAAATTGTTACGCATAATGATAAACAAAACCTAACATGACAGATTAATGTTGGCCATAAACAAAAGGCAAAACTAGTTTCGACTTTCAGCAAAAAAAAATTAAAATGGTGAAATGATAAAACTGGCGAAACAGGTGAAACTGCCAATAGGTGGCAAAACTGAAAAAGGTAGCAAAATTAGTAAAACTAGTAAGGATAGAAAAGTAATTAAAGAAAATTAAAGTTTATATACATATACTTAATAGCATGTATATTTATATTGTTTGTTCGGAAATCAGCGAGTCTGACACTAATCTAATCCAATTCCCGCGTAACCTACGGCGGCTAAGTCGAAATAGATTTGGCCAGTGGGTTCTTTTCCGTAGGTAAGTACTGGCCTCCTCTTGAGTCTTGAAACTGATCTTTTACTAACTCTTATCTCTTCTTATACCTTAACCCGGGATTACAATACGCTGAATCGGGTTTGGAATTCTTCTCTTCCTGATGTAACTTATGTCACTGGTCTTCTGATAACGTGATGTAAACGAGCGCTCAATTGCGAACGGGTGGTGTTAGTAATGGGATTAACAATAGATACTAGTTTTTACAGAATAGAACCTGTATTTTATTATGAATTGGGTATTTAGTGATATTTTTGCAATTGCAATCACTAGCCTTCTTCTAGCCTGTGGCGAATTGCCTTTTATTTATAATTAGTTTAGATCTAATTTATTACATATATGCTATTTTATTTAATAAAACTAATAAAACTAATATATCTAATAATTAGGTATATTAGTTTTATTAAATAAATGGCATATATGTAATAAATTAGATCTAAACTAATCATTATAAATAAAGGCCGTGTTGGCCCATAGAGGAGAACAACTCCCAAGTTCGCTTTAAAAAAAAACTCTCCTTCTCTTTATTAAATAAATCCTACTAGCTAATCCACACTTTCCTTAATTATCCCCCGATATTCTACTAAGTGGCATAGTAGAGTTATCTTCGTGAAGCCTATAGATTAATCTATGATTACCATATCCCTCCCAAATTGATGACTGACCCGTCTCTTAGCAGTAGGAAAGGAGACCTAAGTTTTGACCGCCTCTTTCGATATGGTTGTCCAGTTGCTGATTAAAAATAAGATCAGTTTGGTCTCGGTGACAAAACCGCCTGTTTTCAATAGCCACGCACAAAATATTTTGATTTCTAACATGACTCAATCTTTTCAAAAGTCTTAGAGGATTTGATCTTTGCCAAGTTTTGCCTTTCCCTAGGGACTCAAAATTTTACTAATGAAATCACAGCTGCCCATTAAGTGAAAATTGTTCCTGGACTAATTTTACCATTGTGTGGGTCTATTTCTTTGAAAATTTCTATTTTGAGAATAAGAAAGTTAAAAAGTCAATCCCGGCCAGAAATTAGTAAACATTTATGTAATGCGGGCCAGAATTTTGCGGATCCACGCCAGTTAGCCAATATCGCCTTAAAGAATTTTTGCTGTGCCACAAACCTGGCACAGCATTACGGCATTACGGCATATAACATTTACGGCAATCAGGTACTGTGTCGTAATTAATTCTACCATCTGGTAAAATGCCGCAATGCCGTAATTCAATAATTCTACTGCCAACTATACATCTTTGCGCACATATTTTAAATCGTACGTGCGCAATTACTATTAACAACTGTTATTATATAATAAAATACTATAAACAATGTATGCTTCCGCACATTTAATTTTATCTTCGTTCAAAAAAACGAAATTAATGTTCAAAATGAACATAGTAAATCAACTAATATCCGCATGTACATAATTTTCTATACATTTCTATTTTACCTGGTACGTATCAGAAAAAAATCAAAAATCAAAATTTTATTAAGAAAATCATATCGATATGTAGTAAAATTGTTCAGCATCTAATTTACATATAGGGTACTATACATACGTATAAGCATTATATCGGGTATCATACCCGTAAGGTATGAGCATTAAAATTTTAATTTTATAACGATAACAAATATCGATAAAATAATTTTTAAAAATCAATAAGAGCTTAATTAATTTTAAAAAACTTTAACCATCCAAAAAGGTAATTCATCTAATAATTCTCCTGATAATTAATAAAAAAGTTCACTTAATCTTTGTTTTAAACTTTTCGATAAATGTAGATCACTAAAATACCAATAAATAATTAAAATTTTCACATGCTCATCCGCTGACAATGTTTGTTCACAAACTACCAAAAGTTAGGGCTATTACCTTCAATAAATACGGCTCTCCTACAGAAGTTCTTAGGTATTTCAAAATAATATATATATTTTTTTAATATACTTCTTTTTGTTAATAACAAATAAATTTTTTTCTTATTCACAAAAAGAGCAGTTACATATCAATTACCACCACTAACACCAACAACATTACACTTAAAATTTCTCGCATCACCAATTAATCCATCGGATATTAATCAAATTGAGGGAGTTTACCCGGTCAAACCAAATTTTAGAACTTTAGGAGAGCATGAAAAAACTGCCGTTGCTGGGAATGAAGGTGTTGCACAAGTAATTGGTGTTGGCGATAAAGTTGAAGATATAAAAATTGGTGATTGGGTTGTTATGGGTAAATCTGCGTTTGGTAAGTTTAATAATTAAAAATCAATTTTGAACAATATTGAAATTTTATTAAGCTTTTACTTTTTTTTGATAACCAAATAGGAACATGGCGAACACATGCTGATGCAACACCAGATGATGTTATTCGTATTCCACATGAAGGAATTGGAATAGTCCGAGCTGCTACTTTAACAGTAAATCCTTGTTCTGCTTATCGTATGTTAAAAGATTTTGTCGCATTGAAAGAGGGTATATATATAGATAGATATTTGGTGTTTACTTTTTATTATTTTGATTAAATATCTTATTACATTATATTTGTTTAAACATTTTTCTAAAAAAGGTGATTTTATAATTCAAAATGGGGCAAACAGCGGTGTTGGTCAAGCAGTGATTCAAATCGCTAAGGCATGGAATATAAACACAATAAATATTATTAGGGATAGGTTAATAGTTTATTTATTTTACATTGTTTATGATATAGGTTTAATATTTAACACTAATTTTTTTCAAAGGCAAAATTTTCAAGAGTTAAAAGATTTTTTAAAATCAATCGGCGCAACATATGTAATAAGTGACAAAGATTTACAGGCAAAAAATAGGGAATTTGAATGGAATAAGGATATAGAGGGTAAAGGAATTGCTTTAGGTTTAAATTGCGTTTGTGGCAAAAGTGTAATTTCCATGGCAAAACTTCTCAGGTTATTAATTTTATTTACGATGTTAAGATTTTTATCAAGTATTTTTCTCATTTTTTTATATATATTAAAATAGGCACTCTTCTCCGTTAATAACATATGGAGCAATGTCACGTCAGCCTTTAACGATTCCAGCATCGCAATTAATTTTTCAAGATTTAAGATTTTTTGGATATTGGATGGCAAGATGGAATAAAGAAAATCCCAAAGCAAAGAGGATGGAAATGTTGAATGATATTATTGAATTGATTAAACAAGGTAAGTTAAGAGATGTCGTTTGCGAAGAAAATAATTGGGGTGGAGATGATAAGGAAGATGTAAGTGACGATGTATTGACGCAAAGATTTTTGGAGATATTTAAAAAGGCTACGGAAGAGTTTAGAGGGGCAAAACAGATTATTAAGATGATATAATCTTTTTTTCATGCTCATTAATATTGAGTTTGGGAATGTACATACTAGTTTATATAAACTTAAAGAAAGTATGCCAGTATTTGTATATTTGCGATAAAAGCCAATTAATTGTCTATTATTTTTTTTTTTTTTTTTACTATACTGATTAAGTATAAAATTACAAAATTCTAACTCAAAATTGATCTGCGGAAAATAGTAATTAAAATATTATAAATAGAGATTAAAATTTAATATATACTTGTTTTCAGCTAATCATTAATAAAGTTCTTGTGTAGAGAATTATATTGATGTTAAAATCATTGAAACATTGTAAAAAGAAAGTCAAAATAGACGAAATGATTACATTATCTGAAAATCATGAATTTCCTGAGCCACCTTCGAGAAAGTACTTTTTCTAGTACCAACGAAGTAACCACCATTAGAAGCGACCAATAAATCCACTAAAGGTGTAAAAAAACGTTTTAATGTGTAATTATTATAAGTTCTTACATCATCAAAAATGTTTAAATGATGTTTAAAATCCTTTAATGAAAAAATACAAGGGCTATATTTCGAATAAAAGTTTTTAAAAGTTTGATCAGGATGACTTGTATCTGTTGCCACGTAAATTATTGGATGTTGGCATTTTATAGTATTAACGTTAAGTTTTCCATTTAAGGAGTAGTAGTTTACTTGTTCAAAAATAGTGTCAATTGTATCATTTACTTGAATTCTAAACATTTCATCGAGCCTGCTTTTCTCACCGGTTCTTATATGAACTCCAATATAATTCTTTGTTCCACCTAATTCATTGATAATTTTTTCAACACAAAGTTTCAATTTTGAATGATTAAATCTCAAATTCCTCTTTAATTCATTCAAGAAATCTTGGCTTTTCTCATCATCTAAAACTATCCTTCGAGATCCGTGCAATGATCCAAAATGTATTAATGTTTCTGGTCTGGATGTTAATTCAGAAATAAAAAACTTTCGTTCATATTGACTTCCTAATGATTGAGTTGTATTATTCATATCAAAATATTGAAATCCGTAACGTTTTGTCTCTCTAACATAATAAATGCTTTCAACCGATTTTTTTAAGGTATCAAGACTAAATTCATGACCACGATTAATTATTCTAATGTGTTTTTTTAGAATTGTAAAATCCATCAATTCATCCCAATACATCATTGAAAATTTATCGTTGGACTTGTAACGGTTATTACAATATTTATTGGTTGCTGTATTTTTTTGGTTTGGGCATGATAATCTGGCCTTCTTTAAAGTATCCGCATCTTTAAGTTTATTATAAAGTTTTTTGAATCCACTATGAGTAATTTTCTTGTCAATTATTATTGATGGCATTATTAACGTTCTGTTTGTAAGATATGATAAAATTATAGCGTTTCTTAAAGAGAGAAATTGATTGTTGAATCCACTATGTGGAAGAAAAGTTAAAAATTTCTCTTCATTAGAGAATTTTTGTACTTTTTGTGATGAGATGGTTGAACCTGTTAGCCTTAAGTCTTCTAATAGCCTAAAAATTATAATATAACATATTAAGATTACAGAGGTTTTAAATATATGTGAAATCCTTAGCCTTAGCATGATTCAGAAAGGTTTAAAAAAATGACATTATTCAATCTAGCGGACTTATTTATTTGTTAATTTATTACTTATGCGGTGTCATATCTGATGCGCAATTCATGCAATGGCAAGTACATGCGTACAGTACATACTGTTGTATTATCGTTATATATATTATCAATGTTTGTTAAAGTTGCCAAGACATATTACGTAATCTTTTGTCTTGTCGTATGTTACATCTTTTTACACCCAAATTCAACAAATTTGAATATATCACTTTGTCAAAAGATGTGCTACTTTAAACAAAACTGAATTCTTGAAAACCCCATTCTTTTTTCCACTATTTTTTTCATCAATTATTTCAATTTTAATGAGTGCTATTTAGCTCTTGGCAACCGTTAAAAGCATTGAATTAATTATTTGACTCACGTATTTATATTATTGTTTTACTTATTAAATTAATGAAAAGATATAGTGATCTATACACAGTATCTATATAACAAAACACGTTTAAATATCGATCGACAAATTTTTTCGAATTCTAGCTACAAAGAAACCAGATGTGTTAGAATAAATCGGATCAAATCTAACAGCATTCGATATGTCGACCTCTACATATTTACTCTTTTTTAAGGGTGCTACTGTCATGTTATTTATATTTGGGATAGGTTCTAATTTGGAATTAGGAAAATGAGAAAGAAACCACCCAATAACATCTTCATTTTGTTTATAGGAAAGGCTGCATGTGCTATATACAAGAATTCCACCAGGCTTTAATAGTGACCATCCATTTTTTAAAAGATTTCGCTAATATATTAAGTGATATGGAAATTACAATCTTTAGTGAAAATCATAGTAAATAATAATGGTAATAATAATAACTAACTTGAAGATCCCAGAGATTATCTAGTCGATCAGAGTTTAGAAAATTCTTTTCAAATTTATCCCATCCGTATTTGTTATACTAATGCACATTATAAATAATTGATTAGAAAATATGACAGGAAAATAAATATTCATCATGAACTATCTGTGAAACTTGCTTTAAGAATATGCACTATGGATCCATCATGCGTACATTCTGCATCCACAATCACCTATAAATGAAAAATTCCTTGAGATAAGTGTATGAATTTACTTACTGAATTGCATGTATGATTAAAGAAACAGACCTTATCATACAATTGATAAACCGCACTTATTTGTGGGTCATTTCGCAATATTTTTGGTGCCCAAAATGGCTTGATTCGTTTTTGGCTTTTATCATTTAGTTCATTGTCATATCTCTCTTGGCTATTTGTTCTTGCCAATTCTTCTGCCATTCCTTTTGATGCTGATGTGTAATTTTCACCTAACTTGTGTTGTTCATTCTTACTAATCATTTGTATTATCGGTTCCAAAAAGGATGGCGCAGGTACATTAAAAGTTATACCATCTGCAACAAATAATCTAGCTCGACTTATCTTGTATTTTTTCAATAAACTTCGACACGTTGCTGCTCGATCACGTGAAATATCTACTCCCGTGACCGTACCACTCCCCTTTGTGCCCAAGATGTTAGATATCATGCATAATTTTGCACCTATCGTATTTATTATACCAAAGTAATTATCTTAAAACAATAAACAATAGTGAAACAAAATTAAGAGATAAATTTATTACTAACCCGGAGCACAACATAAATCAAGAATATGATCATTTGGATGAATATCAAGTGCGTAAACAGCGATCCCCGAACTTAAATCTATACCAAATATCTTTCCTTCTTTATATCTATTGTTATCAAAATATGTCAACATTTTTTTAATTTAATTAGTTAATAAATAACAGTTTAAAAATTATTTCTTAGGGTTTATACTTACGCTTTACAATCAACAATCCTACACTTCCCATCTAGCCCAAAAAAACCATCAATTCCTTTTACAGGCCATATGTTTGTTCCAATTTGTTCTTCTAGTTCTTTACAAATTTGTAATTGTGAATATTCATCATTATAATAACATGAATTTATTCGGATGTATCTAGGTAAGTTTTGAATTGTGTATATGACGGGATCTATTTCGCTTACTTTAAGGAATTTTAAAAATGATGTTGGTAAATTTGAAAGTGAGAACGATAGAGGTTTAGACATTGTATTTATATTTATTAACACAAATGACTGTTAATATCAAAGATTTTAGATCCCTTATAGCTGTATAGTGGTATAACTATTGAATCGAACAGTAATTGAGATAACTCCTATTGAATAAATATATATATGTTGTATAACCTTGTATTGCATAACCCTTTTGCGCCCATTTGGGGAAATTAGCCAATCGGAAAACGTACAAAGGGACCAGCCCAACACGTGCGCAAAGCGAAGAAAAAGCCCGAAAAAAGCGAAAATACAGGAAAACGAGTGGTTAACCCATCTTGGAGCACTAATTAAAAATGACGGGAATGAAATTTTACGTATAATAAGTGATTGTTTATTTTCATCGCCTCTAACTTTAACGCTATAACTCTAAATTTTTAATTTCTCGAACTAAATTTATTTTTTGATGTAATTAGGGTTATTGTTTTATAAACTTATCAAGAACGCAATTGGGGCATTTAGCATGATGAAAATCCATTTGATTGGATCGTATGATAATCGTCAAATAAAATTTCTTTGAATTTCGTTGTCTGTCTATATAAATTTATGACTTGCAAGTAGTAAGTCATAAATTTTTGTCACGGCTGATGCTAGAGATGGGTTCCGAAACCCAACCCTTTTCTAAACCCTTTAGGTTTAAGTTATGGTATTAATTAATTTTGTATATGAGAATTTTTGCCTAAATCCCAGTACCAGTTTGCATTACTCTATGTAACCAAGGTTATACAGATGCCTTATGATCTGTTAGTTATGTTAAAATGATTATATTACAAGTATTTTATCTTGACTGATCAATAGAAAACTGTTGTTATAATGAATACAATTGATCATTTTTTTTGATAATCATTAGAACTAAATTTTTCAAAAAGTTGAATTACAGAAAAACATTATATTTAATATATTAAATTTTATGATAGTTTTTTTAAAGTACTGGGCATACATAATGGACATTGAAATAGAGTTGAAAAAGAAGTTATTATTTTGTGATAACAATTTAAAAGTATTATAGAATTATAGAAGAAGTGATTAGTAAAAATCATAAGTTTTTTATAAAGTAAATAACAAATATATTATTTCTATATAACTATAAAACCTACAAAAAACACTTATAAGAATAAAAACTAAAAGTTTGATTTACATATTATCTTCTCTTTTTTTCAAGAAAACTTTGTAAAAAGTATATGATTTAGTTTATTTTTTTTAAAAAAAATCAATATATAAATTATCAAAACAGTCAGCAGTATTTATTTTCTAATTAGAAATATGAAAACAATACAGTAATACAAACATGATTTATTTATTTTTTTTATTTTTTTATTTTTTTTTATTTTTTTTTATTTTTTTTTATTTTTTTTTATTTTTTTTTATTTTTTTTTATTTTTTTTT